TCCATCAACTGTGGTTTGTTGATATCTCAACAACATATCACTTTTACACATTTCTAGGACTACTAATGTGCATGTCAACTGTACAAGTCCTCAGTGTACAAAAATACTCGTCAACCGCAACAATGTTTCACTACTACCATGAATTGTGGGCTCATGCTGTATTCCCCAAAACAGATTTATTCAAATAAGACATTCTTCAAAGTTGATAATATTGAAACAGACAATGAGGACAAACTATGCAAAGTGAACTTGTCAGACTTTATCAGAAGTAAATAAAGATAAAAACCAAAGCAATGTGATATGATGTGATGGATAATAATTTATACTATGTTCAGTGGAGAGAAAATTAGACAAGCCTCACTTATTTCAAATAATATGACAGCAAATGGATTTTCTTTTGTGAACAAAACCAAAACTGATGGTGTCTTTCTAGGCAATTATTGGGGAGAAAAACCAAATATTGTCAAATCAGATTTTGAAATCATACAATTCATTCCTGTGACCTGTGTGGTGTTGACCAGTTGATAAATGAATATATCATTCTAAGTAAAGAGAACAGCACTGGACTAATCCCCTTGAATGTAAATAACACCAAATACAATCTAAATGCAATAATTCCTGATTGCATAGATTTTAAAAGCAATTGTCAGAGTGCTAGTACTATAAATTAGGAATGCTAAGAAAATAAAATTATAAATCAAATATAGCGCATGGTAAATTTATCTTTGTTGAAAAAACAAGAAACTTTCTGACTAACAGCACCATGAAGTTTAAAATCTCTATTATTTTTAAAAATCTTGAAGTACTTTTTAAAAGGTAAAATAATAATAACCTGTAATTTTTGTGAATACTTGGTGGGGGCAGTGATTTTTATTTTTTTAAAATTATTTCCCCTTTTTGACACATTTTACAAAATAATTTATAATTTGGTCAAATTCGCATGAAATGTTCTAAATCATGAATATGATATAGGAAAATGAATTTTCTTTATAAATAAACAGATTTTATTAAATAATTTTATGTGGTTTGTTTTTTTCTTTCTTTGCATGTGATCACCAATTTTTTTTTTTATACATTTTCTAGGCACTTGAATACTAAATTTTAAAAAATTGAAATAATTTTTTAAATAACACAGTTAGTTAGAGCAAATTTCAAATAAAAAAATGAAACCAGAATCAACTTTTTAGCTTAAGTCCTTTTTCAGCTATGAATTTTTAAAGTGTGAGTTCGATTGGTATTATTTACTATGGACAAAACCTCCACATCTTGTGACCTCATTCCGCTGATCTCGTCATGCGCAATGACTATATACTTTATATAAGGCAACGCATCGCCTTATCACTAAAATACTGTTTAGGGTCGACTTAGTTTAAACTTTCAACTTTGGCACATGAATAATTAATTAAAGCTTTCCCTTATAAGGCAACGCATCGCCTTATCACTAAAATACTGTTTAGGGTCGACTTAGTTTAAACTTTCAACTTTGGCACATGAATAATTAATTAAAGCTTTCCCTGACCAATGGTATAGTAGTTTTTGCACACGGCAAACTCTTATGAATGAAACTCTGAGGTAGTACTACGATACAGCCATTATGCAAGTGGCTGTGAATGGTTGCCAATGACAACGTGTTGCACACGGTAAATTCTGATCATTTATAATATGGATTCTACCGGGTTGTTAAAGCTCAAATTAAAACATTCCAGTTTAAATGTCTTCAAAATGCACTCTGAAACACAAGTTATCAATTATTTTGCTGTAAATAGTGATAATAAATTAATATTTCCTAAGTATCGGCAACTTCCGCCATTAAAAAGGGGGCGTGGCCCACCCCATGACGAAATTAGGTTGAGCGAGCTGAATGACCTGCTGCAAACGCGTAGAAACATGGCGTCTCTCGTAAGACACTTATCGCTGTGAAAATTGGCATTAATGTAGATCAATAGATTCCCCAGATGCAAACAAAATTTGGTAGTGACAAATTTTTTCCTTCGACTTAATTTTAATGATGAAAGTTGCCTTATATTTACCAAGGATTTTCTCAAAGCTGACTGATTGTAAATGAAAAAGAAATTGATTAAAATGTAGGCCAAGATGTCTACCTAATTATAAGGCCAAAAACGGAACTCAAATATATATCGAAAGTACTAATTTAATAATAAATAGACACACACATCGGAAAATTAAAAACTCGGATTTTTCGGCGCCGATTGCGAATTCCCATACACAAAAAGTAGTAGTCTCCCTTGACTTACCGAAGTATCTACATTTTCATTAAAAAAAAAATTGCACTTTTTTTTTCACAACTTCTAACTATTGACACTATGTGTTTGAAAACAAATATTTTTAGAAACCTCATGCATTTCCCCACAATAATATATATAACATCATGAATTTTAGACAAGGATTCTAAAAGCTATTGACTTTTTTAAGGTCACTAGAAATCTCATGAAAAACATGCAAAATTCAAGGAACTAAAGACTAAAAAAAAAAGAGTTAAAATTAAGGCAATGAAATTTAAGCGCGAATAATTATTACTAGTGATATAAAATTAAAACTTTCTCTTTACCTGATGGAACTAAAGGCTTAAAATTGCGTCTTTTGTTCGAATACAATAACCATTTAACAAAATAGTACAAGATTTTTAAAAAAATGTACATTTCATGATTCTTTTGTCATTTACGACGCCATTGTGGGAAAACAAGGAGAACTCTTCTGTCTTCAAAGATACGTTATAAAAGTTGCCCAATAGGATATATTTAGATTTAAATATTTTTTATTTTTATCTTATAAATCTATCTACTTTGTCTGATATTTCTTTCTAAACCACTAGATCCATGCACAGCCATGTAAAGGTGGTACTCGCAAAGGACCTCAATATCAGGGGGTGCATTCGATCAGGGCACTTTTAAAAAAAAAATTATAATGAGGGGTGGCATTTTCGGGGAGCTGAAGAGTTTTTTTGTTTTTTTTTTAAATTTAGTGGTAGTGGGTGGCACAACTCTCTAGTTAACATATCGCAAGATAATCCCTGGTCCGCTGGTAACGTTTCCCAGATCTGCTCATTATGAGGACACGTAACACATCAACCAACGCTTGGACATTGGTCGCTCTCTGTTGTTGGTGAAATTATATTATTACTTTTCTAAAATTCAAATGAAAACAATAAATGTATCTAAATCATCTTGATTACTATATTTAAAAAAACAAAACAAATTGATCTACGAAAATGGCTTAAACTTAAACAAAAAAATAAAATTAGAAAGAAAAAAACTACCCGGAATAAGAAAAAAACACAACCAAAAAGAATAAAACTATGATTCTATGAAATAAGGAGAAAAAACACTTTAAAAAAAAAATTATCATACTATTATTATCACACCCGGCTCCGAAGCCATTTAATCTATATGGAGCCACTCGACAAAAGCGAAGAGAGGCCAACTTGCACTAACAAAGAATGCTAACATTCTCACCAGCCATCAGCAGTGCACAGATGGACACACATTAAATAAATCTTATATTGTTAAAAGCCTACAAATAATATAACTATTTACACTCATTAAATTTTTTAAAACAATTTAATGTTTGATTTTAACAAATTGGCGCCTCTGTGATTATGATCACGCATGTTACCCACCTTGAGCCGGCCCTGAATCAAACTATATATGATTTTAAGGTTAAGAAAAATCATAAGGCTAATGATGGGGCAAATGTTTTACTCGATGATTGTAGTTATAGTGATTCAGAGACTGATAATAATAATAATAATAATAATAAAGTTCATTTAAAAAACACGCTACATCCCCGAAGGCTCGAAGCGCGGTACAAAGTCAACAAAATACAAATCTATAATTTACCACATTTAAAACAAACGCAACACTACAAAAACTAATTACTAGCATACAATTCCAAAGTCTTTCTAGCCATTTCAACCCCAAGCAACACAGCCATTATGCATTAACTGGAAAATAAGGTTGACAATCATCCCAGAAGGTGTTTGCGAAATAGATGTGTCTTTAAATTGGTTTTAAAGGACTCCAGTGTCTGGTTGTTTCTGAGATCGACAGGAAGGGCGTTCCAAATTGTTGGACCAGCAAATGCGAAAGTGCGCTTTCCGTAAGTCTCAACGCAAACACGTAGTGATAGTGTGGTATCCCGTTAAATTTAATGTTTCTTTAATAAACCCATTATATAATTGACTTGAAGCTAGTTGTATAAGCATAATAACTAAGGTTGCCAGGTGTCCATTATTTGAGCGGACAGTCCGCCTTTTTTCCACATAGTGTCTTTATGTTCACTTTTTTTTCACAGAATAGTGGAATTTTTTTAAATTCAAAAGCTTTATAATGAAATGGTTTGTGGTCGAAAGCTGTACAGTCTAACAGAATAAGGATAGGAGAATCGCGTTTTCTTTTTTTTTTCTTCGTAAGTTAGCATTTTTTAAATTTAAGTAAAGTTTTGAAGTGACTATTTTATGACATGATAAAATGTTTCTAATTTAATTGTAATTATTGTAATTATTTTTTTAAAAACTACTTACCCCCCCCCCTCCCACCCCACTTGCCCGTTATTTTTTGGAAGCAGATCTGGCAACCCTATTAATAATTTAAAAATAAATAGAATAAAATGTCATGTGCTCTCTCATTAAAATTAAGTGAAGCAGACCATGGTGTCGTTTTCTATTTTTACACGATTAACATTATTAAAAGGCACACATTTCATACCTTACATCTTTTTCCCTTTTTATTTCCACCTCCTGGTACTGTTTCCTTGTGTTTTATTTTTGTTACCGGTAAACAATGTCAAACGAATTTAAGTACCACTAATTAAAGCACTCAAAAAAGGGTTAAATTATTTAATGATTTAAGCTAAATAAAGACCTCAAAATAAATGAATATCATATAATCAAGTTTAAAATTTAAAAATATTGGGATTTTTTTCACTAAACTTTCTTAATCGCGCCTGCCGTCAGGATAGTTAAATATCTAACCGGAAGTAAGCTTTAAACTTATAAACACGTGTGGAAGGAACAGCCGCATCGTAAAGCAATAGAGAAGAACGTAACACTAAATTGGAAATGGCTCCCCCAGGTAAAAAGAAATAAATTTATAACAAACTTTTAGGGTCACGGTACTTTTCTGCTATTTTAATTTTATTATTTAAAATTAGTCTAGCTAAACTTAAGTCATGCCTTCTTTAAACTTCTTAAATTATTGTTGTCTTTTTTTTTCTCCTTTTTTATTTTTTAGTCTTCTTACTTCTTAGTAATAATAGAGGGAGTATGTGTAATTGTTATATTTTCAATATTACTACTACTAGTAAATAGCTAAATGTTACAGTAAGAAATTCTAAGCAGTGTGGGTAATTCCTTCATTCAATGGTTTAATAAATATTCTAACTAATTTAATTAGAATTATACAAGTCACAAGTATTTATTCAAAATTTATTGTAATTAAATTGTTCTTGAGCTTTTCATTTAATGTCAGGTTTTTTCCTTAGTTTTAACTGGATTTTAAAAAGAAAGCAAAGAAATCATATCGGGCTTGAGTCTATAGATATTATCCAATAGTGGCAATAGTCTATAGTCCTTAGTAATTACTGTTACTGTTAATCTGTGCAAAGCTAGTCTGTTGTAATAAACTATTTATTTTACAGGATTCACTCCACGAGGTCGAGGAGGTTTTGGAGACAGAGGTGGACGTGGTGGCTATGGAGATAGAGGAGGACGTGGTGGCTTTGGAGATAGAGGAGGACGAGGTGGAGGAAGGGGAGGCTTTGGTGGTAGAGGACGTGGTGGAGATAGAGGAGGAGGAAGAGGTCGTGGAGGCTTTGGTGACAGGGGTAGAGGTCGTGGCGGAGGTTAGTCATTGCTATACACTTTTTTATTTTATGTATTTCTAATTTATAGAAGCTCAAAATATTTTAAAATTTAGCTTTTCATCTCCTCAGAAATTATTTAGTTTTTGTATTGAGATGGTTGGGGGGGGGGGGTGTACTGTGTGGGTGTGTCCAGGGACTGGAACACGCTTCCAAAAGCTGCAGTTGACACATTTTTTGCATCTATTGCCTTCTGCTTTCCGACCCCTAGTTCCTATTACTATCACATTAGTAGCCCTTACAACCAGTGGAGTATCCTCTTCAAAACCATGCATAATCACATTATGAACCCCTCTACAAACATTAACATAGGAGGGTCCAGAATGATCAATACATTGATCGTGGGCCCTCAAAATATGGACGAAAATGATGTTGACATAATGTCTTGTTATATTGCAACATTATAATTAAATAAATAAATTTTAAATAGCCTTACAGGTATTTCAACCAATAAAAAAACAGCACTTTTTTTTTTGTGGTCTTAGCTATGAATTTCTCTTTTTATTACTTTTGAATAGTGTAGTTGAATTTTAATAAAAATAATAGTCGATTATGTTTTAGATGAAAATAATGCTTAGTGAAGAAAGGGAAAGCAATTCTCATTTCTCAGGTCCAACTTGTTGGTCCTGTCATCCATAGTCCAGTTTTGTGATGTCACTCCGCTTATGGTGAGGCAGCTCTTTGCAAAACCCAAGCCGCTAACTACAAATTTACCAAAATAATTTGTAACTATGAGGGGTATCTTTTTTTTCTTTAAATTGTTAAAGCATTGCCTAAAAAGTTTGTTGTAAGCACTGCTAAGGAATATTGTTTTATCTGACACATTTCATATTTTATTCAAAGGCCGTGGTGGTATGAGAGGTGGTGCTAAAGTTGCAGTAGAGCCACATCGATATGAAGGTATATTTTTTTTTATCACCTCAGTCATTTAACATTGCCATCTATTTCATCTATTACTATTTATTTGAACAATTTAATTCATAAATATAACTATGACCTTTAAAGGTATATAAGTGCATCCGTTTTATTTATGTTATTTTAATTTTCAACGAAATTTTTAAACTAGTACAAGATATGTTGAATGTCATAAATTTTATATGCTAATTGATGGTCAGCAAGTTGGATTGTACCTTATTAGTCATATAACTAACTTTAAAAGAAGGTAATTTGCTTTAATGTTTAAAATTGACAACCTTACACACAATCATTTTGGAGCATACATTTTATTTTGCACTGTCATTACAACAATTTTACACCGGTATATAAAAAAAATAAAAACGTTCGTTTTGAAATATATTTTGCAATGATTTGTAGTCTATGCAGAAGTATAAATTAAGATAATGTGCAATTCATTTGGTCATTTAGTTATATGATCTTTTAACTGTTAAGAACAATTTTCTTAGTCAGCTGAAGGTGGCACTCTGTTATAGATCTTGGTATTAATAAAAGGCTTTTCTAAAGAATAATGAGTAGCAAACACTCTTTTTGTTCGAGTGTTAAAATCGCGTTTAATTTCCTTGTAGGTGTGTTTATCGGTAGAGGTGGAAAGGAGGACGTTTTGCTGACCAAAAACTTTGCTGTTGGAGAGTCTGTGTATGGAGAGAAAAGGATATCTGTAGAGGTAATTCTTAATTGTTTACATCCTTGAATGGCACATTAACATTTGTCATAATATTAATTTGATTGCTACAGATTTTTTTCTATGTTCCTTGCTACATGTATTATAAAGAGCTTGTGTTCATTCAAGATTTCTTCCTTCTTTTTAAAATTCTCATGTTTTAAAAGGGTTATTTTTCTATGTTACTGTCTTTACTAAATAATAAGAAAAGAACCACTTTGAATAAGAATTGAGTAAATTAAAAAATTAATTAATTGCATTTAATTTAACACATTTTTTTTTTTTTTCACTAACTGTGTGTTTTCCCATTTTTCTCTTTCATTTAGGAAGGCGAGACCAAAATTGAGTATAGAGCCTGGAATCCATTCCGCTCCAAACTGGCTGCTGCCATTGTTGGTGGTGTTGGCGACATTCACATTAAGCCTGGCTCCAAAGTTCTCTATCTTGGTGCAGCTTCAGGGACCACAGTTAGCCATGTATCAGATATTGTTGGAGCTGTAAGTAACAATCTAGTTCCATTTAGACTCCATTTAACTTCAAATGTAATTGGTATTTTATTTTAACTATTATATCACAATTTGTTATCGATAAACTCTTCGCATTGCATTGTTTGCTGTACATATGTCTAAAACACTGGGGATTTTGTAAGTATCTGGTGATGTTTTTTCTTCAAATAAATGTATCCATTTTGTTTATTCTTCAGGAGGGTTTGGTTTATGCTGTTGAATTCTCTCACAGAAGTGGACGAGATTTGTTAAATGTTGCCAAGAAAAGGACAAATATAATTCCCATCATTGAAGATGCAAGGCATCCGCACAAGTACAGAATGTTAGTAGGTGAGTCCAAATGAAATATCCTTTCTTTTGTTTGATTGTGCCTTTTCTTCGATGAGATCATGGATTAATATTTTTAATGCTTTCTTAAATTACTATTTTTAACTAGATATATTTCTGGGTTTAGAGGAAACTTTTTTTTTCTAACTGATGATGTTAAGTCGGGTATTTTTTATTATTTTAGGAATGGTTGATGTTATATTTGCTGATGTTGCCCAGCCTGATCAGGCCAGAATTGTTGCAGTCAATGCTCATAGTTTTTTAAAAAATGGTGGTTTCATTGTCATCTCTATAAAGGTAAGCCTACAATTGTCTCACACACAATCCCAGTCTTTTTGGAATTAGTTTTGTAAAGAAATTGTGTTTTCTTTTTGGAGTATTTACCAGATCAGGGAATAAATCCAATTACAATTTGTTCCATATCATAATTATTTATTTTCCCCCTTAGTACTTTTACAATTGTTTCAATTATAAACATTAAGACTATAATCGATACGATCCATCATAGTCTTAATGTTAATATAGATTACACTTTTAAATTATTTATTCCTGTTATTTCTTTTAAATTTAATTAACGGAGTGGCTATTCGGACCTGAGTCCGAGAAGTTAGAGGTTGGGATTAGAATGTTAAAAAAATATATTATTGTTTGGTTGTAATACAAAGTTTGGTATCAAATGAAAGATAATTGAATGGACTAATTGATTGTAACCTTAATTCTTCAGTTTAACTGAAATAAACGACCCCAAATGACGTCCGAATAGCGGCGATGTGTTTCAGGTTCCTTTTTTACTAAATGCTATTCGGATGTCATTTGTGGTAGTTTATTTTAGTTAAACTTAAGAATTAAATATTTAAAATGCAAATAAACCCATTTTATACACTAGTTTTGTTTTTTTTTAAATGTCTTAAAATTTTTAATTTTTTAATAAATATTCATTTCTGCATGGGTAGAAATAGTATTATTAACCATGGCAAATACTTGTTAAAAAAGCGGTTTATTCAGTGGCAGCGAATGCCCCAGGTGATTTCCGATTGTTCCCTGATTGTCTATTCTATCATCAAAGCAAGTCTGTTCCCTTTAGTTCAATATAAAACTCTGCTGCAAATTATGCAACTGTTAGGTTAATGGGAGCATTATTGCCTCTAGTTGCATCAGAAAGATTCCCCAATTTATTATCTCTTTTTTTTTTTTTTTACCACAATGCTGCCTTCAGGTTATAAATATATCCTTATTTATTTATTTTATTTTTTATTAAGGGTGGGCTAAAATAGGTTTAGGTTTTTAATATATTTTCTATATTGTTTAAGAATTTCTTTATTTCTTAACTTGATAAAATAATTGTTCCTTGAATTAACTTTTTAAAAAAAATTTTTTCTTGTTTTAACCCACAGGCTAACTGCATTGACTCTACGGCAGAACCAGCTGCTGTGTTTGCTGGGGAAGTTGAGAAATTGAAGCAAGAAAAAATCAAGCCCATAGAGCAGTTGACACTTGAACCTTATGAGAGAGACCATGCTGTTGTGGTTGGCAAATACAGGTTAGTGTTAAAGTAACCCATGAACTGTGGTCGGCTGACATTCTCGTTCTGTACTGTGGTGGCCGATAAAAAACATGGTCCAATAGCAACTTCCAATCCAATATTTAACTGGAATTAGAGCCATTTCCTTTTATTAATAATTAAATCATCTTCCGTTTCAAGCTGTTTCTTAATAACTTAAAAATACTTTTTAATCTGAGTTTTATGTCACTGTTTTTTTTTAAAGCTAAAATGGTTGAAGCTATGGCTGGGCCTTCAGTGCAAGAACTAATAGAAATATGTTTGAATGCTTTTTAGGAGAGGTTTTAAATGATACTGATTTTGATTTTAACATTTCCCATGACGATATCAGTTAACCTTATTCTTCTCGTGAATTTAATACTAGCCTTAGTGATACTGAAGTAGGCCTGAGGCTACTGTTAGACTTCGAGTCAGGCCCTGAGGTTGGGCAAGGACTAACTGAATTTTAATCACAGAAGCTACAGATTATATTTCAGAACTAAAAAATGTTTAAAGTTCTACAGTTCATTTTTAAATGTTTACTAGTCAATAATAACTTTTTTGTCTGAGATTTTGTTCTTGGTTTTAGCAGTGGTCCCAGTTTCTTATATAAATTACCTAAAATTGCTTTAAGAGGTTTAATTTCAATCAAAACCTTAGCAAACTATACATTTTCTGAACTATAAATAAATTGGCTACAACATTTAGATTTGTGTTTTAAGTGTATCTATAAAAATTAATTATGTTATGAGCACTTGAAAGCAAGACATTTTGTCGATTTTTTTCTTGAGAACTCCAAGGTCAAGGACACAGCAAAAAAAATTTTTTCAACGGGGTGGGCAATATGGCCAACTTTATCCCCATCCATTTACCTTTCTAAAAATATATACTTATTGGGGTCTTGTATGAATATTTCTATGTCATTTAATGCAATTTCAAATGGCATTCAAAACGCCCTGAAAAGCTCCACACCACAGAATAATGCATGCCACAGTTCGTGGGTTAATATAAATTTCATTTAAAAAATTCAAAGTATATATTTTGTAGCTGTGTTACAATACCGGGTGTTAGTCATGTTAGTCATCTATTGCTTATTGCTAGTCTCAGTGACCTCTTTCCACCACATAGGTAGTGGTGTGTATAAGATATTAATAAACCTTATTCTTCAATTACCTATAACAAGATGTGACATTTAACCTTTTTTTATTCTATTATTTCAGACCTCCACCAAAGAAGTAACCACAACTCTACTTGTACTTCCATGTAAATGTTGATAACTGTCCAACAGGCACATTTTTTAATGTACATTATTTAGGATATTGGGTGGGGATGCTGTAAGGATGAGTTTGTTTCTTTTGGATAAGTAAAATATAATGTGTGTAATCTATATCACACATAATGACTTCATTGGCTTTGCCATTATTGGGGTGGGGCTGGTTTTGGGCCATCAATAAACTGATTTTACTTTTTATTAGAAATTTTACTGAAAGTTAGTCAAAATGTGCTTGAGGGGGGCGGTTGACTTGTAGTGAAGTATTTCATCTGAAGTCACTTGTAAATACCATTGTACTGCTTCACATTCATGATTATTGATGATTAAAGAAATATTTTAATCTTGCTGCTCGTGTCTCACTATTTGTTGTCCATCTGTGTTGTCGGAATTTAAAGTCCAATTTAAAAAAAATATGTTAGTAATTGTTAGTGTTAGCGAATATGGTACCAGTGCCTGGTACCTCAGATTAATTTTCTGAGTTTTAGCTGAAGCAGTTGGATGACGGTTTCTAAGAAAACATGCTGTTCCAAGCCCTTTGTCATACACATGCTCTAGTTTGCATCCTAGTTGTCATTGACTAAAGATGCTTCAACTAGTTACCAACAATTCATGCGTTTTAAATGAGAACAGTTTTTTGCCTACCTAAACTCACATTGAGAGGGAAGTGATTAGGTTTCGAATTTTAATTAAAATATAACAACTTACAGTATTAGCCATGGGTCCTCCTATAATGTGTCAGGCTAATAAAGTACAGCTAGCTGCAAGAGCTGAAAATGAAAAAGATTTCATAGCTAAGCATGAATTCTGTACACATGTGGCTGATATCGTCGCTAATAGTTCTAATACTACATTCAGGATGCTAAATTGACTATTGATACAAGTAAAAGTTAGAAAATAAGCTATCAAAGTGTTTGATGTTGCGACACTGGCCGCTAACCATTTTAAAATATAAACTTTAATTCTTAGTTGGTGTGTGTTTCTGAGGTGACGATATGTGAGAAAGCCATCTGCGATGATTTGGTGAAAGGTATGACAAATAGTGATACTACTACTAGCACTATTAACTAGTGCTCAATGAATGGGAGTTTAAAGCTAGAAGGGATCGATAGCATTTGTGGGACTCAAGAACGGTATAATTCAGTTTGTATTATTTGTATCATCTTGGAGCTCAAACGATATAAAACTTGAATGTGATTCTGGACCGAATTGTAACAATAGAAGATGATTTTATGATGAACACCCGAGCCTCATCTTTTAAATTGCAGATTTAAATCAAATGAATGGTTTCTAAAACTTGTACAAAAAAGTGGACATCCCCCTTCAGAAACCCATTCGTACGCAACTGCATATCAGTTACCTATACTGATTTAAAATAAAACTTATGTTATAATTTTATATGATGACCAGCCTGAAAATTTAGTGAAAGTGGGGGTGAGGGATATGGGCCGAGCCTTCGTATGGTCCCGGCAACCACTGTGCTGCTGCGGGCCACGTATTGTTTAGGGTCCAAAAGTTTTGAAGTTGAAAAATGTTAATTAACTATTAACGTTTAAAATGAAAACAGAGCGCACATACTAACTGAAAATCGAGACAAGTGAAACAAATTGTCTGCACTCCAATGTTCCCTTTAGGCTGCGCGGCCACGCAGCGATCTAACAGACGCCGCGCAGCAGTTTTGAGTATCCGCGCAACAAATTTCCATTTAAGTTTGTGTTTGTGGGCTGTAAAATTTTGCACACAAAAATGATACTGTAAATCTTTGCACACAACTCACACAACTGTATGCTTTTGCACGTGAACCAACAAACCTTATTATAGGGAACATTGCTGCACTCTATATATATATATATTTTTTTTGTCTCATTTTTTCCCCATACCGTATTATTTTGTCACATACGAAATTTCTCAGTCGTCGATTGAGAGTATATCAAACCGTCATTTGTCGTATTTTATTTTAGTTAAACTTAAGAAGTAAATTTACAAGCATATATAGTCCATTCAATTATCTTTCATTTGATACCAAATTTTGTCTTACAAACCCTACAGCCTTATTACAAACCCTACAGCCCGCAGCCTTATTATTATTGGTTATCAAGTACACTTGGGTTAACTTTCCATGAAAAATAAAACTTAATTATTGACGTGAAATCATGATGATTTATTGATCATAATTTTCTTTCCAAGTCATTATTTCTGTTTGAATTTATTATTTTCGCGTTTAAACTTATGTTAATTCTGTATTACAATTATTTTAAAGTAAAATACCATATTTTTATTGGAATACAGTAACAATTTAACAAATTGTACGAGATTAAAAAAAACAAAAAAAAGAGTACATTTTCATGAATCTTTTACGGAGCCATTGTGGTAAATCAAGGATAACTCTTCTGTCTTTAAAAAAAAACTTTATAAAAGTTGCCCCATTAGATGTATCTTGGTTAAAATAACTGTTGTATTTATTTTATAACTTTACGATCAAATATAAACTGGATTGCATTCAGAAAAAAAACATAGGCTACGTCCTTTTAATTCACATTTCTATTAAGCGAAATGTCAACAACAAAACAATACCACTATAGTAAAAAATAAATAAATAATACATTTTATCTCCTATAAAAATCAAAACACTTAAAATGTAAAAAAAAAAAAAAAAAACTTATGTAGGCCTAAACCTTTCGTTTTTTTCCGTTTTCCGATGACACCCCGTTGTCCGAAAGGATCATGATGGGATCCCGATAGGATCCCAATTGCGGTAGAATCCTGGTCATGGTGGGATCCCGATTCCCGTAGAATCCTGGTCATAGTGGGATCCCGGTCCCGGCGAGATGCCGATCCTGGTGGGATACCGTTTCCGGTGAGATCCCATTTCCGGTGAGATCCAGATCCCGGTAGTTATAGAGAACGCACATACTTCAAGGGACAAACCGTATATTCCGAGCGCTCTGAGAGGAAAAAAAAAGAAAAGTGGGGAAGGAAGAGAGGGGGGCGCTCGTGCGTAATAAAAAATCAAGTATTTCATTCTTTTTTGTGAACATGTTTACAGTTCAAAAATTTCGTTTAGCATACTAACTTATATGTGGTTAAAAATCTGGCCATGGGGTGAAAAAAAACAACAACAAACAAATAGGCATAGGGCTATGTAACTTGGTAGGGGGATGTTTAAAGACTAAAGACTCTTAAGAAATCAAATAATAAGAAAAAAGGCGCTGTATAAGTCAGTATCAATTAACTATAACTGCCTGCATTTAATTAATAAAGGATACACGTAAGTTTATAGATAAGAAAATACGAGTTAAGAAATAATATACGCGCCTGAACTGCTCATTTAAAGAGTCTGGCCTTGCCTTATACTTATAACTTACTTAAAGACTTATAGTTATAGTTTATAGCCTTATAGTAGTATTACTTATACTATTCGGTTGTCGTTATAATAATTAATAATTTACCAAATACTATTTTATTATTTTATTTATTTTGATAATTTATTATTTGTGTATCATACATATCTGTTGCTGTAACTGTAGAAGTAGAACTGAAGTCTTTTTGATTTTGTTGTCTACAAGAGAAAGGCAAACACAATTTTAAATAACCAAAACAAAATAAATAGTATGGAGAGATGGCAATACCATTACTTTAGGTTGTGGCTATGTCCAAGTTGGCTCAGTCAAAAAATTAATTCAAACAACCAGACACATTACATTTAAATGTTTAAGATAAACATGAATAACTATACTATAATTATTAAACCCTTATTATTAAATTAGATTTTTCATACAACTCCTAACCACAAGATTAGAACACATTGAAAAAAAAAAGGTTGTTATTAATTAAACACAAAAATCAAGAAAGCTTTACTGTTACTGTTTATCCTTGATCATATCTTAAGCTCTAAGTTCTAACTCTTAACAATAGCTGATACAATCATCTCATTAAAAATACAAATACCGGTTATTGGTTAAATTACATAAAATACAGTACAGATTAATTTTAATGGTTTTAGCGAGTAGAGCATTTATTAACTTTTTAAGCATAAACATTTGTATGTAATATATTTGATAGTCAAGAAATAAATATAGTACCTGGTAGAATTTTATTTAACTGGTCATAAGCTATCCATATCCATAAATTTTATATTGTACTTTTAAACATTTTTATTTCAGTTATTTGTGAAGGATATGAAGACATCATAAATTTCACTTCTCTTTGGACAGACATATGAGGTGTCCAAGCTTTGCTGGTTTGTCTCATATTAGGTCAAGATAATGGAGAAACAGGATGATTTTCAAATTAAACCAAGCCTATATGAGTATGATCCACATGTTGTAATGAAGACCAACGTCAACACTGAATTTCACAAAATACTTAAAAAAGAGCTAGAGCATGGTGATAACCCTTCACAGGTAATAGATGGTGAAATTAAAGAGAAGTCAGGTTTAAAGACAGATCAGGAGGTTGAAGCAAGTTCACCTTTAACATTGGACACTGCATGTGGTTCCAATAATATCTCGGATCATTTATCTATTCTAAGAAAAGATAAATCTGTCTCTTGCAAGAGGAAGTGTCCACAGCCTACTTGTATGGAGTCTAAGCAAGCTCCAAATGAGGATCATGTCAAACATGAAATAGTGTTGACAAAAATATGCAGACAAATTGTAGTAGGTGTATGTAATGGGCAGAATGCTAAAAACTTGCAACGTAAATTGAAATTGACAGGAGAGAAATCCTACAAATGTGATATGTGTTCAGCTACATTTACTAAAATCTCAAGTGTTATAAGACACAAAATACAACACACAGGAGAGAAACCCTACAAATGTGACATTTGCCCCTCTGCGTTTGCTGACTCTTCAAATTTAACTGTTCACAAAAGACTGCACACTGGGGAGAAACCATACAAGTGTGACATTTGTTCTTCTGCATTTAATCAGAGGTCTGGTTTAACTACTCACAAAAGACGGCACACAGGTGAGAAACCTTACAAATGTGATATTTGTTCTACTGCATTTGCTAAGTCTTCAAATTTAACTTATCACCAAAGACAGCACACGGGTGAGAAACCTTACAAATGTGAAATTTGTTCTACTGCATTTGCTGACTCTTCAAATTTATCATATCACAAAAGACAGCACACAGGAGAGAAACCTTACAAATGTGACATTTGTTCTTCTGCATTTGCTGACTCTTCAAATTTGACTGTTCACAAAAGACAGCACACAGGGGAGAAGCCATACAAATGTGACATCTGTCCCTCTGAATTCGCCAACAGATCTAGTTTAACTTATCACAAAAGAAAACACACAGGAGAGAAACCATACAAATGTGACCTGTGTCCTTCTGCATTTGA